CTGCCTCAGACAGAGAGTAACTGGTAGCGCACTTTATTTGGTTTAACCAGGAGTGGCGATTTTCCTCGACTTCTTTTACCATCTACCTCGCCTTCAACCACCAATCTCTCCATGCCTTCCATTCGTCTGGTAATGTGTCCAAATACCTCAATATATTTTGGTTGATGATTGTGGTAAGCCTAGTATTGATGTCGAGTTACGTCAATATTGAGACATTTGTGCGATGTGCTGTCCAGGGTATGCGCATCATTCTACGATATACTCATATTTTAAAGGCCATTATATACATGTTTCTTCAATCAGCAAATTTTCATTAGTAAAGCTCAATTGCGTTTCTCTGCAAAAAGAACAAAGTTATTATAAGTTGTACAATATTAAACGAAAATTACATTACCTGCAACAAGAAACAACCCTTGAAGATTTTAACTAATATTAAAATGACGTCTCTTATGGCAGTATTAAAAATTAATAATGACAAGACTTAATGTCACTGTCAAAAGCTAAATCAGACTTTAAGTATTTTGACAGTGGCTTAACAAACTATTAAATCCTAAATTACATAAATAAAGAAAAGCAAAAAGAGTGTTCTGTTTTTGTTTACAGACATAACAAAATTATTCTCACTAATAAAAAAGTTTTTTAAATCTGATATCAAATCAAGATATTAGACCGCAAACTGTTCAAGCCCCTAGCCCGTTGGATCCTCCAACACAAACAATGGAGGTTGTGATCAAAGAACAAAACAGATATTAGCAGTAGGACTTAACTCAACTATAAAACTATACTATATAATATAAAAAACTATATAATACAAAACTATAAAATTAATTCATTTATGGAAAAACTTGGGTAATATCCTAACCAACTCACCTGAACTATTAAACACATTAATTTGTTCTATTACCACTTATCCATCTGATGCATGTATGGTGAAGGTCGCCAACCAAAGACAAATAAATATCTTTGAGATGTATGATTTACAGAAAAATGTTGTAAATATCATATACAGAGAATTTTGTAGTTCATTTATAAGACAGCTAAAGGTTAATAGGTTCTAAACAGATTTGTTACCAGTAGCGATCAGAGAATGGTACGAAGTAAAATAGAAATAAGCTTAAAGACAGAGAGGTATAAGATGATTACAAAGAAGAACAAATCAAATCCATGGACGAAACCATCAGATGTAGATTTCCGACATACTTAGTAGTCGTGGAACAGAAAATAATATAAACGACTTATATATATATATATATATATATATATATATATATATATATATATATATATATATATATATATATATATATATATATATATATAAGGTTCTTGAACTCCTAAGTGGAGCATAGAGCTTCAGTGAAAACGCGCCATCGGGTTCTATTTTGCGCTAAGGCCTTCACCTCATTCCAAGACTTTCCTTGTTTTCTTATCTCGTCCATGATGGATCTTCTCCAAGTTTGTACTGGGCGACCGTTTTTTTCGTTTTCCTTGGGGATTCCACTCTAGCGCAGTCTTTGCAATACTGGAGTTATTTTTTCGGAGTGTGTGACCGATCCAACCCCACTTTCTGGACTTTATTTCATTTACTACCCTCTTTTGTTTGGTCAGGTGTAGTAAATCTTCGTTTCTGATGATGTTAGGCCAGAAAATACGAACAATTCTTCGTAGACATTTATTAACAAAGACCTGCAGTTTGTCTGTAAGGGTTTTTGTCGCTTTCCAGGTTTCACATCCGTAAAGTAGTACAGACATGACATTTGACTAGAATATGCGGATCTTTGTCCTCGTAGTGTAGTCTCCAGACCTCCAAACAGGGTTGAGCATGCTGAAAGCTTGTTGCGCTTTTCGTATCCTCATACGAATATCGTCTTCTGTACCTCCGCTTTCTGTTATGACACTTCCAAGATACGTAAAGTTTTCCACATTTTCAATCTGCATGTTATTAATGGTGAATAGCGTGTTGTTTCTTGCATTTATTCTCATGGATTTGGTTTTACCAATATTGATTTTCAAACCTATTTTATTGAGTCTAGTTTGGAGAGAACATAGTCTAGAGCTATGTTAAAAAGAAACGGAGAAAGCACGCATCCCTGTCTGACTCCAGTAAGTACGTCAAATTCGTCACTGTTGATCCCATTGTGTGTCACGCTGCATTTCGCTTCAGTGTACAGTAACTTTATAATGGAAATTATTTTATGCGGGATGTTTCTTAGCTCTAAAATTTTCTATATCGCATCATGAGATAAGCTGTCAAAAGCACGCTCGAAATCAACAAAAACTATGTATAGGGGTGTGTTCCATTCAACCGATTGTTCCATTATTAGCCTCACAGTATTAATGTGGTCTATGCAGGAGGATTCTGGTCTAAAGCCTACTTGATTAGCTCGAAATTCAACCTTGTTTGTTAATCTTTTAAGTATGATGGTCGTGAAGATTTTATTTATGGCGGTAAGCAAGGTTATTCCTCTCCAATTTTTGCATAGTGTGAGGTTGCCCTTTTTTGGAAGCTTAATAATGATGCCTTTTTTCCAGCCCGCTGGAATGCGGTTTGTTTCCCACACCTCTCGGATTATGGGGAGCAAAAGTTCAGCAGTTAGATGCGGATCAGTTTTAAGTATTTCGTCAGCAATGTTATCGATTCCCGGAGACTTGTTATTTTTCAGAGATTTGATAGCTGTTATTATCTCTGTTTTGGAAGGGGCGTCGCAAGATATACGCAAGTCTATATTCTGTGGATTATATAAACGACTTAAATAATAAATTAACAAATGCCTTACTGGAAAGTCAAAACAAATTCTGTCCTAGAACTCAAAAGACGAGAAGATTAGTAAAAATACGATGCAACTAATGCAGAACAGAAGAGAACTAAGAAGCGAGACGGAATCTAAAGCTGACGAACTACAAAAATTAAATAAAGAAATATGTACAACTGTTAGAAAAGACACTGAAAATACAACCAAGACCAAATCGAACATACCATTGAGAACAATAGAAGTATGAAAGTATTGAAAAAAGACTAAGAACGGGAACAAGGCAGATAATAAAGATTAAAGATAGAAATGATCATCTTACAACCAATAGAGAGGACACTCTTAAAATAGTTGAAGACTTCTACAAATTGCTGTACACACGCCAACACAAAGCAAATAGCAGAGAAGATCAAGTACCAGAAATTGTCAACCAAGGATCAGAACTACTACCGGAAATCACAATAGACGAAATAAAACTAGCTCTAAGAAAAGCTAAGAATAACAAATCTCCAGGTGAAGATTATGTAGTTACTGATGAAATCAAAATCGGAGGCAGTTGCTTACTTAAGAAAATAAAAAACCTTTTTAACATGTGTCTTTTGGACAGTAATATATCTGATAAATGGCAAAATGCTGAGGTAATTCTATTGTACAAAAAATGAATGAGAAAACTACAGACCTATAAGTCTTCTAGTCACCTATACAAACTTCTTACAAGAATAGTAACAAATCGTCTTGAGAAAAGACCAGAAAAGATTTCTACCAGCCAATAGAGCAAGCTAAGATTTTGTACCGGATTTGGAACAAATGATCACATACAGAGCATTAAAACTAATAGAAAAGTCTGTAAAATACAATCAACCACTCGTTCTGGCTTTTGCAGATTTTCATAAAGCCTTTTTTACCTTTTTTAAAGCTTTTCCATAAAGGTTAATTTACAATACATACAAGTAGGGATGGTTGGAACAGGGTTTTTTCAACAACTGTTACAACCTGTTTTAGTTCCAAAAATTATCTGTTTCAAAAAAACTGCTTCAGTTCCAAACTGTTCCAAGTCTAACACTGTGTTATGGGTTGTTTCAGTACCGGTTCGGCTTGTTCCAGAAAGGTTGTTGCATTAACAATAGACCATTGTATTTGTGGTTGTATATTTTAAAAGTTTGAAGTTTTGTCGCAAGTCGACAATTCACAGTTTACAATCATGGTTTATGCGCATGCACATAGTTTCCACAGCAATGGAACTGCAACGACCATATAAAAGCACAGCAATGCAACACCGGTCTCTGAAGTAATCGTAAATACACTGGTCTGTTGTGTGATAAAAAACTGTTATATTGGAACAGGAAAACTTATTGATTAATATCTGTTCCAGCCTGTTCCAAATAAAAACCTGTTTCGAAAAGAACAGACCTGTTCCAAAGTGGTATCTATACATACAAGAACGCAACTATGTCAGTGAAACTACATAACAACACCGATCATATCCCAATCGGCAGAGGAGTCCGACAGGGTGATACCTTATCGCCTAAACTGTTTACCGCAGTACTAGAATATGCTTTTAACAAACTTAAATGGGAAGAGAAAGGCCTGAACATAGACCGTAAAAGATTAACAAATTTGAAATTCGTAGAGGACATAGATTCTGTTCTCGGGCAACCTCAAGAAGATAATGTACATTGCTACAGGAACTTCAGTTAGTGTGTGCCAGTGTAAGTCTTAAAATAAACATCTCCAAAACAAAATTCATGACAAACCTAGTACCTAGCGGAAATATCAATATTGGAGACAACGAAGTAGAGCTCAGGTCAATACTGAGTATATCGCTTCGTGACCGAGTTAGAAAAGAAGACTTAAGACGAAGAACAGGAGTTACCGATGTAATTTCCCGAATTACCACACTGAAATGGAACTGGGCCGAATACGTCGCCCAAATCAGTGATGAAAGGTGGACTAAGATATTGCTTGAATGGAGGCTGAGGTTAGACAAAAGAAGTAGAGAAGACCTACTGGTTAGACTAGCGATCTGAAAAAAATATTAAGAAATTGGATAAAAAGTGCACAAGGTAGAGCACCATGGACAAAAATTAGGGAGACCTATGTCCAGCAGTGGACGCAAAGATCTGGGTGATTATGATGATAAAAGGCCAAGACACGACTTTCCAAAAACACAAATCAGCTCTACATCAGATACTTTGGAACATACAGCGAGAACAACAAAAGAAACACGAACAACAAGGTTCGCTGGTCAACATGGCTATTAAACCTTGTACAAGGATACAATTTTTCTATAAAGAAAAACTTAAATGTATGTTTCTCTGGAAAACGCACTCCTCTTACCACATTTTATTTATCAATAAGATTTTAATTGCCATTGATTAATAAAAAATTCTACTTATTGGAATTCACTATTTATTTCTTCAAGCATCAATTTTTGTTCCGTTTTTTTATCACCTATAATAATTATATAGTCAATACAATTCAGAATTGTTTAATTATTTCTCCCAGTGTAGTTTCCTAAAAACATCCTTCAATGACTGATTGAACAATTTTGGAGATCGTTTCTCCCTGTGTAGCTTCACGTCTTAGTTTAACTGACTAACAAATGATCGCTAGTGCTAAATCCTTTTGTGAAATCAGCTTGTTTTCTTGATTGATATCCATCAAATACTACTCGTGTTAATATTTCAGTTGGTAGCTTGAACAGAACGTTGAGAAGCGGTATTGTGCGATATTCTTTTAGCTCTTATTCGTTTTTTCCTCAATAATTTATTAATATTATGGAATAACATGACAATATGATCACGATTTTTTGGCTTTGTTAAAGGAGATTTATAATTTTTAATATTTCTCAACGCATTTTTTATTTCAGGTTTACTGATTTCTGGTTTCAGTAACTAACAAAACCCATATAAAAAACGAAGTTACTGCTAAGTAGTTACTGGGTTTTATAATGGTTTTTATAGTTATTGTGTTTTGCTATGAGAGATCGTCTTCAATTTATGCAGAAAGTCCAACCCTTCCCACCCTTTCCAGGATTTTGTTATCTAATTTTAGTTTTCGGTCTTCATTATTAATTTTTCCTATCATCATCTAGGTATTTTGTTTTCTTTGCGTTAGTAGTAGTAGTAGTAGTAAAGATTTTTAAGCATTATAATGTCATAAGTGTCCACACTTCAGGGAGGTAGCGTCCCTGCTCACGCGAGCTCTTGGTTTTCCTCCATTCTCTAATTAGAGGAAACCAGGTCCAAACCCCAATATTATCCTACCCAAACACCAAATTCCTTCCTTATATCCCCCTACCTATTTCACCGAAGGATAGCCGGTATAAGCAATCCCCCACTTACTGGCCAACGGCTTCGGGCGGATGAGCTGGTAAGTGACAGGGCACTCTTTTGTCCAGGGGTTGGGAAACTGGCCCTAAAGGCGAAGGAACCTCAGTAGAGGTCAACGGCATAAGGATGTAGAAGGCCGAGGACAACCACTACATTAAAGATTCCGTTGAATAGTCCTAGTATAAAATCATATATGGTAATGCTCACAACTAAATACGATTCCGGAGTAAGTTCCCCAATCGGATCTCCGGGGAGGACAGTTATGAGTACCTATAAAAAAGAAAAAGCAGCAAAACCACAATTTTTAAAAATTTGTACATGGAATGTGAAAACTATGGCAAGGTGTGGAAAAATAGACAATGCCATTCAGGAAATGGAAAGAATGACCATTGACATAATGGGAATAAGTGAGATGAGATGGCCCGGAACAGGAAGCATTGACAAAAAAGATCACAGAATATTCTACTCAGGATCACTAGATGGAAAGCTAGAGCATGGAGTTGGTGTGATAATAACAAGAAAAATTAGTAGATGTATTTTAAATTTTGTCCCAGTGTCCAACAGAGTAATACTACTGCAAATAAGAGCCAATCCAGTGAATGTAAACATAATACAAATATACGCTCCCACTGCAGATAAAGACGACGAGGAAGTAGAGACTCTCTACCAAAGCATAGAGGATATATTAGAACGAATACCTAAACATGAGGTCAGCATCATAATGGGGGATTTCAATGCAAAACTTGGGGCCGAACGGAAAACGTCTCTAATCGGACCTTTTGGGTTAGGATAAAGAAACGAAAGAGGTGACAGACTAGAAATATTCGCAGAAGATAACAAGCTAGTGGTTCTGAACACGTTTTATAAACTACCACCGAGGAGATTGTATACATGGAAGGCACCAGCAGATAAACCCCATAACGTAATTAGAAACCAGATAGATTATATATTGGTAAATAGAAGATTCAGAAACAGTTTTAAATCTGTTAAAACATATCCAGGAGCGGACATTGAATCTGACCACATACCTTTAGTGGGAGTCATTGATGTGAGACTGAAGACAATAAAGAAAAAGTCTAGACCTAACTACGACATGACAGCCCTGCAACATCCGGAAGTTAAAAAGCAAGTGGGGGAATATATTAACAACCAAGTTAAACAACTAAAAGAAGAAAATAACATCCAACGAGAAATCAATCAATTCGAAGAAATAATTAAGAAAACTAAACAAGATCTGCTAAAACCAAACAAAGAAACAAAGAAGAAATCTTGGATGACTCCAGAAATCCTTCATTTAATGGAACGCAGAAGGTTAATTAAAGGAAATAAAGATGAGTATAAAAAAATGCAGGCTTACATCAGAAGAAAAATAAGAGAAGCTAAAGAAAAAGAAGCTGTAGAGAAATGTAAAGAAATAGAAAGACTACAAGCCAAGCATGACAATTTTAATGTACACAAAAAGGTAAAAGAAATAACGGGTACTTTTAAAAAGCGAACACAAATGAAACTCATAGACACCAATGGAAAATTAATCATTGACACCCAAGAGATGAAAGACAGATGGAGAATATATTTGGAGACACTTTTTCAAGATCAAAGAACGGATTATAGGCATCCATTTTCAGAGAGGATGACGGGCCCGGACATACTTAAATCCGAGGTAGAAGAAGCAATAAAACGGATGAAAAGCAGGAAAGCTGTAGGGCCTGATAATATCGAAGCTGAATTTTTAAAACTCTTGGAGGAAGAAGGAATAATTTGGATCACGGCTGTCTTCAATAAAATTTACAATACAGGAATCATCCCTGATAAATGGCTAGAATCAGAATTCATAGCGATACCTAAAAAACAGGGGGCTAAAAAGTGCGAAGAATATCGAACAATCAGCCTAATGAGCCACATGTTGAAACTGTTTCTTAGAGTCATCCATGGAAGAATTTATAAGAAGTGCGAGGAACAAATATCGAACAGACAGTTCGGCTTCATTAACGCAGTGGGTACCAGAGAGGCACTTTTTGGAGTACAGGTACTGATTCAAAGATGCAGGGACGTTAACTGCGACGTATACGCGTGCTTGATCGACTACGAAAAGGCATTTGACAGAGTTCAACATCAAAAGATGATAAAAATTTTAAAAGAGGCAGACCTGGATGACAAAGACCTCAGAATAATTTCAGAACTCTACTGGAATCAGACCGCATACATGAAAATTAACAGAGAAGAAACAGATCACATAAAAATACTACGTGGAGTTAGACAGGGATGTATCCTATCGCCGTTGATATTTAATATGTACTCAGAGAAAATTTTTAACGAGGCTCTTTACGGAATAGACGAAGGCATCCTTCTAAATGGTGAAAGAGTAAACAATGTTAGATATGCCGACGACACCATGGTGATAGCAGATAGTTTAGAGGGACTTCAGAGGCTAATGGACAGAATAAACGAGTACAGTCAACAGTACGGACTAAACATTAATACCCACAAAACGAAACAAATGATTATCAGCAAGGAGAATATAAATGGGGCTCATATATACATTAATGGGACGCAGATAGAGCGAGTAAAACAGTATTGTTACCTGGGAACTATTATTAACGAACAGTGGAGCAATTTACAGGAAATAAAGTGCCGCATAGGAAAGGCAAGAACGGTCTTTAACAAAATGAGCGCCATCTTCAAAAGTCACAACATATCCCTTGAAACAAAAATGAGACATTTGAGATGCTATGTTTTCTCTGTGTTGTTGTACGGGGCGGAGGCATGGACGCTTACAGACGCCACTATTAAAAAACTTGAAGCATTTGAGATGTGGCTTTATAGAAGAATGCTGAGAATATCATGGACAGCAAGGATCACGAACAAGGAAGTTCTAGGAAAAATGAAGAAGGAACCAGAGATTGTGTTTACGATCAAACGCATAAAATTGCAATATCTGGGACACGTTATGAGAAATCAGCACCGTTACTCCCTGCTACAGTCTATATTGCAAGGTAAAGTCAAAGGTAAGCGAGGACCCGGTAGAAGGAGAATATCGTGGCTGCGGAATTTAAGAACATGGTTTAAGAAAACCTCAACGGAGCTGTTTCGAGCCGCAGCGAGCAAGGTTATGATTGCCAATATGATTTCCAACATCCGAAACGGATAGGAACTAGAAGAAGAAGAAGTGTCCACACCAACTGAGCCCAAGTATTGAAATACGTGATGTGGTACTCTATTGAAGTTTATGACAAGACTGTCAAAATTAGATGATAGACATAAAAGAGCTCTATCGAGCCATAGAAATGGCTTTAGAAGGCATTAAACTAATAGCTTGGAATGCTAATGGTCTACTGAAGCGTACCTTGTAGATGTACCAGATGCACCTAGATCAACAAAAATTCAAATCAATGACATTTGCCTTGTCTCTGAAACTAATTTTACAAATGAAAGTTATATATAGCTAAAGAGTTACTATACTTTATTTATCGTATGGCACTTGACACATTTACTTTTAAATTTACATATATTTTGTATAAAACATACTACATATATGTTTATAACTGAAGATCTAACTTATTTATATATATAGTCTATTGACTCTGGAGTCCCCATTAGGAAATCCTCTGACAGGATCTTGTGTAATATGACAGATGGTTTGGGGTTGTCCGCAGTCACAGAGTGGGGATGATCTTTTACCCCATTTGTGCATCATGTAACCGCATCTGCCGTGTTGGGTTCTGATTCGGTTCAGCATAGTCCAGGTGCTGCGTGGTAAGTCAAAACCTAGTGGTTTTTGTGTGATGCAGGGTAAGATGCTATTTTGTTGTTCCACCCATTCTCGAGTCCAAGTGGTCGTTAAGTTGAACTAATTATTCACACATTTAACTGCCAGGATCTCGTTCCTAAGTATATTTTTGTACTCACTAGTGAGGGAGTGTATACGCCGTAGTTAGGGTGGTGGAATGTGGCTCAGTACTGGGAGCCATTGCGT